AATAAGTAATGAGCACTTAGTATGGAAGTGAAAGGTTAAATAGATCAACAAGGTGCGTAATGAAACATTCTGAAGCATTTATAATGTTAATAAGTAAGTAGGAATCGAATAAGTAACCAGGTAATCGAATAAGTAATCAGAGAATCGAATAAGTAATGCCCACTTAGTATGGAAGTGAAACGGTTGAATACATCATCAAACAGCGTAATAATACACAATGTACTATTTGAACCATCCATTGTGTTGATAAGTAATCAGGGAATCGAATAAGTAATCAGGGAATCGAATAAGTAATCAGGGAATCGAATAAGTAATGGAATAAGGAACTAGGAACTAGGAATCAACTTCATGGAGGTTAAAGATAATGAAGCTGGAGGTTGAAAATTTTCAAAGAATGTAAACATGGAAATATTATATCGTTTCAGTCATATCTAATTAAATGTATATTCTATAACTTGTAGTGTACATGAAATTACTTTTTTTATATCAAATAACGTCGTCTTGAGTCCCGAAGGATACTTTTCTGTTAAATCAGAACAGTACAAGAAAGTTTTAAAAAAAATACTGAGACAGTTACAAAAACTAAGTTGTTAAAATTGGAAATGAACCAGTTTTTGCCACAGATATTCAAGAAAACCTGGAACTTTTCACATTTTTAATAAATGTAACACGAATGCTTGAATGTTGTAAATGTGTAAACGTTTCGACTTCCAAATTTTCACGTAATTTTTCAAGTAAATAATAACCAAATTTGATATAAAAAGTTGTCACATGGTCCTAGTCACATTTTCGCAAATCAATAGTGCTGGTCTTTTTTTTTTATTGATTACAGATTGCAGAATAGGAAATAAATATTTCAAAATGGCATCGTCTCCACTAGTTCTATACACCCGCCTCAAGACCAACATGAAAATTGCATATTACACTGACAGTATGGTCGATAATCTCGCGAACTTCAGAAATGAGGCTTCAGCCTATCTATCTGGTCCAGGTGAATATAAAAGCCTCCCCTTTCTGGATATATGTGCGAATTTAGAAGGAAATGGAAAAATTGGCTGGAATAATCTGGAGAATCTAAAAACAATTGTACAAAGTGCGAGTGATGGAAAAGAACAACTTCTTGAAATGATTAACGAAGCTGAAAGAAAAATACAGGATAATTTATCAGGTAAATATTTTTTGCATTTTATTCCCATTATAATAAGTCTAGAAATGGTAACAAAAAACTAACATGTATAGGAAAATAAACCGATAGGTTGAAGGACGAGTTTGAAGTTAAAATTTGAAAAGAGATCAATGACATTTCATAGTAGTTCCAAAACAGACCTGTCATATGCTAATTTTCAATAATGTGTGTGTGTTTGTATACGCCCGTCATAAATTAGAAATTTGTCAGTAATTAATAAACAATAGAAATATCTTTGGTTTTGATAGTGTAAGATGAATCGATTATTGGCAAAAAGGGATAATTTCAATTTTCATTTTCTTGGTTTGAAATCTATATAAAGGAAGACAGTTCCTATGAAAATCAATAGTTTAAAGGATACATATTCCTTTAGCATAAGTTGGTCATTGTACATTGTGTAATCACAAAGTTTCATTTGTAACATAAGTACAGTATGGTCTTTTTTCTTTGACCACAATCCAAAAACAGTTCTTTACTTCAATGAATTAACATGTAGTACAAATGCTGTTTCTTCTTCTTACATTTCAATATTTTCATACATTAAGATACAATAATGCTTCAAAAAGATTTTAAGTATGTCAAGAGGTGTTTGTTCCGCCTCACAGTTTTGTTTAAACGTGTAATGCTAATATTGGTGTCGGTGAAAAGTTCTGATACATTTTTGGATTTATTTTTTTTGTAAATAGAAGTTCGTTTAATAGTTTAAAACAAAAACAAATATTTTAAATCCAGAAATGTACTTTTTTCCTTATTTGCTTCTTACAAATAAATGATGTTATAACAGAAAATGATTCAGTGTTTCAGGGTTAATCCTGAAAAAACCCAAATCACTCACCACTAGCACGTTTATAAAATCGAGAGGTGTTGGTGACCACTCGTTTTAATCACGTGCGTGCTTTGTGTAATTTGTTTTTCTCAACAAACCCTAAAGAACTCTGTATGATAAACAATTGTTCCTCTATATACTACTGCTATGTATATTTCACCAATAATAATAATAAAGTGTCGTTCCAGTTCATTACCTCGCCTGGGGCGAGTAGATACATTTCTAAATGGGCAAATCTGTTGTAAAGTCCTTCTCATGGTCTCCTATGTGTTACCATGATAAAAAACTTGTATTTGATTTACCATTATAGGTAGGTGGTTTCAAGTAGTTTACTGATGATCATATACAATCTAAATAACACCTAAGTAAGATTGATTTCAATTTTATCTTTATCAAAATCCGTCATTTTTAAGCATTATGCATAATGTCATTTATAAAAACGAGTTCTGCTGCTTCAGGGAACAGTTTAACGATTGGTCTGACCATCTCAGAGAAATAGATTTATTTGTTGTCTGTAAAGGCATGAAATAACTAAATATTATTTGTACATAAACACCATTGTTTTAATTCTAAAAAGAAATGTAAAAAGGAAAATATCATTTACCAAACAGGTTCAGCGTGCTGTTTGCCACCGGAGATGGGTGCACAGAAACGAAAGCTGAGAGGTACGTACACCAAATATAAACTTATGCATCTTTCAACAATTTTAACGGTTACATTCGTATCTTAGAAGAAAATGCAATGTTTTTAACTCATCTGGCCAGCAGTGGCGCTGGATCCGTAAGTTGGTCATCTGCCACCGTTTTCTTTAAACTAAATCGTTTTCTAGTAAACTATTATACATGTCTCAAAAGCAAATACAGTTAAATCTTCCAAACAAAAACAGCTGTATAGTGATAATATTTTTACTGTGGTGTTATTAAGACTGTGGTGTGAGCCTGTTTAAAAGTTATCTTAACTTATTATTGTTTCAACGTTGAAATAATGTATGATTACATCATCAATCTTATGTTAAGATATTTCCGCCTAACTTCAATGCTTATTTCTGAAATAAAGATACAAATATTCATTTTAAATAAATATATATTACTGTTGCTCAAAACATATTTTTGTCTAATTCATAGTTTATTGCATAGTCGTTTTAATTCAGGAAAGGCGAGTTTTCTCACATTTGTTAGTTATCATAGACTACTAGATGAAACAGGTCTTATTTTCATTTTCTCAGATTAAGTATTTTTCACATTTTAATTTCTTTCCAAAAAGTCGTTCTTTCAGGTTTCTATTAACTCTCTCTTAGCTTTTGTCATGTTTCGTTGGTATTTTTTTTCGTTATCCCTGGACAAATCATTCCATTTGATATATTTTTAGAGCACGTGAATCACTCAAGTGACCTTTTGTAATGGCCCTTTGTCTGTCGTTGTGCGTCATGCGTCGAGCGTAAACACAAATTATATTGTGGATTTTTTCTCAGAAACAGTAAGATTTTTATAGAACATGGATGTAATTATCATCCGGAGATACTGGGACCATGAGAATTCACATATTGTTGTCCATTGGATTGACATGGGCTAGGCCATACAATTGTAAGAGGTCAAGGAATGGAAAAACCTTCAAACGGCTTTTCTGAAAACAACTGGTGGATTTGCACCAATATCTTATAAAAAGAACATCTGCTGATGAGCTGATGATCTGGGGCCATACAAAAGGCCGCACACAGAAATCACAGTTCGTCATAGGCTGTAAAGTCACTTGTAAATAAGGGAGGCAACTCTTATAGGTTTCATAACTTTTGCTGGTACACTCTATGTTAGGAAAATAATTAGCAATTTTAACATTTAAAAAATCAACGGTATCAAATATTTATAATCTATAATACATATTTTATAAAACGATTTTTAAACGAATGGTCAAATGGGTGTCTGGTCATACGTCTGAAGATGGTTGACATTCCCACCCCATAACAATAAATATACCTACTGGCATGATGAAAACAACCATGCTACCAAGAATTAACCTGGTTTCAGCCATTTTTATCCATTCTTCTTCTTCCAAAGTATATCCTTTATTTCCTGTTTTCATGTCAATTCTAATTCTTTGCATCAGTTTTAATCAATGTAAATATCTGCTACCGATGTATTCATATAAACCAAAGTTCTGTTAACTTACTAAGGCTTTTGAAGATGTTAAAATGTTGTAGCAGTGAATCTACTTCTGGTCAATACTAATTCTGTCCTTTACTCAGATGACCATTAGGGCTCGTTTTGCCTCTTGCCTTTACAGTTAAATGAAACAAGGTTTGAAGTTCATATTAATTACTCTTGTTTGTTTGAATGGTAGCGCATGAAAGATATTGTAAGAGGATAAAAGAGTACATGAATGAAATCTATGTGATCAGGAAGATAACTTAAATCATATCAAAGTCCGATCGGGGAATCAAATCCCATCAATATTTTTTTTGTAAATGCCAAGAGCGTTTCCTTCTACTTCAGCCAATCAACCAAATACTGATTGACCTCTATGACAACGAAACTATTTCGTGTGATAGGTTCACATTTTATGTGACAGAAAAGTTAATTGAAAACTCTTTACACAAATATTGATTTAAAAAAAAAATACTACATCAATACGGCTTAAGATTTTGACTAAAGTATTTATGAATAAATCTGTCTAGATAGTAACTCTTTTAAGCAGAGGACAAATGTTTTCCCCTCAAAGTTCACTTATCTCTTTCAATCAATGAGATACACACGACCGGCATGGCTGCAATTTTGCGGAAACATTTTCAATTCAGGTAGAGTTAAAATCACAAAAGGCACGTGTAATTAATTCAGGCCCGTCGAACTCTTTTGTGTTCATTGAAGCTGCCCTAACTTATCGTTAAATTCGTCAAACAACATCTTAAATATAATACGACATTATTGTTAAGCTGAAACAACATGTAAAGAACCACGAGTTATATGGCGAACCAAGATTTTCTATACCGAGACTAATCCGGAATTTGTTTCAAACAGTTCCTCAATGTTTTAATAAGCAAAACTTGAACAGGATTTCATGTGTAATAATAGTTTTTTCTGCTGATTTTTTTTTATATCATAGCAAATTATTCATAAAAAGGGTAGCTAAAAGGGAAAATGATCCTCGTTAATCATCAACACTCCACTTTTAATATTTTCCCATTGTTTTAATTTAAAAATAAATTCTTGGAAGAATAATAAAATGGTTAACTCTTTACGTTTATAGCTGACGAAATGGTAGTGTATATGGAGGAAAAAGTATACCGAGTAAAAGAGGGATATGCAGCATTTCTAGACTGCTATCTAGTTCCTAAACCGGTCAGTGTCGTCTGGAAAAAGGGAGAAGAAAACAAAGTAGACAAGATAGTCCCTATAAACAATAAAAAATACTATTGTGCTGGTCCCTCTTCACCAGCACTTGTGATTCGACGTGTAGAGAAAAGGGACGAGGCTTACTACCAATGTACTGCCAAATATATTGACACCACCAGGAATATTGAAATAGAGATTCAAGGCGATGCTGTTCCATTAGAACTGGGTAAGTTCAACTAAGAGATATACGACGTTTCTTTATAACTGAATAATTCATGTTTTCTTTCACATGAAACACCCATTGAAAATCAGAAAGCATCACACATTTATCTCAGTCACGTTCATGTTGATAAACAGTAATAATCTCCAGGTCATTTGAACTTAACTAGTGCGACGTATTTTATATAATGTCCCCTGTGATAACATCATTTAGCTAATGTTAATATGAAGCATCCTTTGCGTAAGGCGGTTTAAAGTATCAAAGTAATCCAAAACATATGAAAATACAGCAAAAAGGAACAAATCTGTAAGTCAGCTATAATTTAGGAAAACTGTTTCTGTTCCGACATACCTAAATATATGAAAGTTGCAAAGCGTGTTTGAAAAATAAGAAACTAATCTGCTATAGTACTGAGTTTACGGAAATGTTTTATCTATAATATCATGAAAGAAAGTAAGGATATCTTGTTGTATAAATGGCTTGCTTATTGTATATACCGGGAATTATCGATTTGTTTAATATTCCTTATCCTAGATTCCGATGAAGATAGAAGAAGCAATACACATAGCACACAAAGATCTCAGTCTTTATCAGCTTCAGGAGCAGGAGGGTCGCACAGTCATATAAACATCAGATCGAGCGCTAGTTCCCAGGATTGGCAAAGGGAATCACCCAGGTACGAACATATATTTTATAAAAAAAATATATAACAGGCATATTGTACTTTTATTTCCACGTTTGTAACAAACATTTGAAATATTTACGGTGGTACATTTAGGAAGTGCACAATATTATTTTCTACTTTAATTATCTGAAGCGCTCGACTTATTAACGCGAGCGCTCGACATATTTCTCGCCATCCAACTTATCTACATTGTACATAACAAGTTAGACTTGTACGCACGAATGAGAACACCGCAAACGTACGTTATGAAAATGGATGTTTTAATGAAGTAATTGGATTTTAGCCTGATGTCTTGAGAAAACGTAGTTGGACCTTTGCATAAAATGTTGACGTCATAGTACAACAACGTCATTATACTGTAGGACGTTCAAAGCCACACTAAACTCTTGACTTGACAGATATTCAGTGTTTCCACAGTGCAAGCGAATGTGCTATGCTACTCTCTTCCCACTCTATTTACGTTCTTTAGATGAAACGAATGCTGTGCTTAATGTATGAAATGGCAATCAAATTAAAGTGGGATCATGTTACATATATCACATCAGGCACTACCAGTAAAGTCGATTCTGCCGGGGAACGTATCTAACTTATATGGGGAATACTTCTAACTTGCAAAGGACATCATGACTTTTGTAGATATTATTTTTATTTTGTGATAATTTGAGGATATTACTCGATAATCAGTCAAAACAAAACGAAAAAGAGACAAAACATTGACTTTTTCAATTGATCCAGCTACCCTACTGCCAAATCACAAATGTGTCTTACCCTTCATGTCAAAAATATATATTATTCGTGATCTAAGCATCTTAGACAAAAGTTTGTTATAGACTTCAATTGCAATGAAGGTGTCAGTACTCAACAGTTACTTTTTTATTTCAATAATAACGTAAAAACGGGCTGAATCGAATGTCATTAGATATTTCACCAGGGAACCTATCATTCTAATATATGATTAAACAGGGGGACATTATTACATAGGCTTTCATTTCTCATTGTGGTACAAATTTCGACCATGTTCACTTCTGTATGCCTGCCGGCTAGTGCAAAATAACAAATATCGTAATCGACCTCTCTCAATCTAAGGTTGGTAAAGGCAACAACGGGCAAATATGACAGCAAACGAGCAACACTAATTTCTCGTCCTTGACATCGTATTCTTGCTTATTCGATGTCATATTCCGGGCCTCGAAGTTGTATTCTGACCTTCAAATATTGTTGCAGGACAATGCAGAGACTATTACGATTGTTTCATCATTTTGTAGACTGACCAACAAAATAAAAAAGAGCTCATAATTTTTCCAAATTATCATACAAACTTTTTCTTGCAGTTCGAGTGAAAACATATTACTAGTCAGCAGCGGCTCATTAAATCATACCCAACTTCGCGATCAGTAAATGGTTGTTAAGTTGACTTGTGACCTTTGGATCTTGAACACCAATTACCATTAAAATCTAATTAGATGTAACCTCTATTTCATTTTGTTGAAAAACAATATTCTGCCTAAGATTTATCATTCAAGAGGATAAGTTATGGAAATTAAAAACACAATCCCGATAAACTTGAATGGATTCTTTCAGGTAGGAACAAGGTCTACCACACGTAAGACATAACTAAGAATATTGAAAGTCAGGGAGGTGGGTGATTATATCAAAATCATATCCCAAATTTCACCTATGCGTTATATATTGTTACGTACTATGAATATATTTGTCCAGTTCCATTTTTTTCTTTTGGATTCTTTCAGTCACTGTTGGTTAATATTCATCCTTTCTTAACTTTTTTTCTAATATTTGACATTGCATACTATTTGTTATCTAAACATGCCCTCCTTTCTAAAGTAGGGCATTGTGTCTGGGTTTTTTCTTCAAAATTGCAATACATTTTAATGCATATTAGAATAGAAATGAAATAACAAAGTTTTTTTTACAATTATCAATTTCCCCTCATGAAAACATTTTTATCATAAGCAAATTGATTAATTAAATATTCTACAAAAACATTTAAGACTTAGATGCAAAAAGGAGGGAAAATATGGTAAATAAATCATTATTATTTTAGAATAGAAAGAGGATTACGTCCAACAAACCACCTGGTTTCAAATGATAGAACTACTATGCATTCGGTACAATTACGACCCTTTCCTTTTGTGTCAACAATTATATTACCCATCTTTATCTTGGATATCAAAAATATGAACTTGTTAAGTTTTGACAATCAGGATTGTTCAATCTGTTATTTTCCACTTTGATATTTTTTACCTGTTTTTAACTAATGGAGTACAATTTTGTCATTGTCGTTTACACTTTCTAGATCATTTTAGCTTTATCTATTCTTTAGCAATTACAATTAATCATTTCTGTTAATCTTTCTTGTTTACCCTGATGGAAGCACACTGGAGACTTAAAGGAGAAAACCAGGTGATAGGGTAGATAAACAAATACCTGTTTGGGAATCGAACCCTATCATGCGACTTGGAAAAGCGGCACGCAGGGACGCAATGACGAAGCGAATACTATTTATACCTTTCAATTAAGTGAAGATTAAATAATTAGATATCATGCAATACATTTCCGGTAATTCCTCTAACACCATAACAGATTAGATATACAATTGTACATAAAATCGAACGGTTAAAATTGTTGACAACTCCCTGCATCAGTTTTCTTTCTTATATTCCTAAAATATACATGTACGAAAATCATTTAAATTATTCAAATAAATACAGGTAAGGTAGATATATTGAATTATATTTTACAGCTAATATAGTCAAATCAAAGGCTTTTGCCTATCGACGTACTATTTTAGACGAGTTTCTGATCTTGACAATGTCTTTCTACGTGTAAAGTATTTCGACAAATTATGATATATCACGAAATGTCGACATTTAAAAGATGATGTGCCGTGCAATTTGTATTTAAGTTGACATAAGCTATGTCGATTAATCAACATTTAGTACAACAAAGAGAGGTCCATTTACGTTTCAGTACATCTCCTCTGCTATCACGATTGCAATACAATATTATTATGAAGCGATGCAAACGTAAAGTCAACGTAAAGCGCCCGAAATAATAAGTCGAGCGCTCGATATAAGAAGTCGAGCCCTCGGGAAAGTTATGTCGAGCACTCGAGATAATTAATGTAGAAAATATTACCGTGCCTGTACAAAAAGTACCACAGAACATATTCAAGCGAATCACTGAAAAAAAAAAAAGATTCATGAATATCATGCAATTTGATTACATCTTTCTTTACATACATTCTAATCCATAATTATACGTATTGATAACAATTTAATATTCTTGACCATTTATTGCATTTCATCAAGAATACCGCTGAAAATATTTTTTGGTGAAGTTGGCCTTTACGGTCATTTAGATCGATACATTTTAGGTGCAAGAATGGCTATACCATCAAACAAACATATGGACGAAAGAGTTTCAAAATATTTTCCATCTATCACATCTTATCCTGATAACTATTATACTATGTAAACGTTCACATAAGATTTTCGAATGTTTATAATGTTCTGATAAGAATCAAATCCCTTGATATAAAGAACTTTAAGGTAGAGAGCGCTACGGTCATACACAGATAGGTTACATAGCATACACGTAAGGTATAGGTAACGAGATATAGAACAAACAGTGTTGAGCTGTAACTCACCGCACATAGTGCTTTCTACTTTAAATGTCTTTATAACAAGGGAGTTGATTTTTTCTCATAGTTAAGCAAAACCAAAACAATATGTTTGCTTCATAAGCCCACAGCCTCATTTAATATAAAATTGTACAGTCTCAGAACATGACGGGCATGTTTAACAAACAGTCACCCAGGGAAGTCCTTGTTCGGATGTTATTACAAGTAAATGCAAAAGCAAGATCTTTGCTAAATATCTGTCCGCAGACATCGGACATAAAGCCACTTACTCTCTCAACAAGCATTATCTGCAAGTACTTATACCATGCCTATGACAAGAGTAGCCGACATCTCCATCAAGCTGGAAAACCAAAACTTCCAGTTATATCTTAAGCACCTAGGAATTCACGTGGTGGATTAGTTTACTATTAGACTGTATATCCCTGTCATAAACTGCTTTGGTATCACCTAAGCGTGTTTTTAATAGTCTGCTAGTGTATCCCCTAGAAATACTATTGACAGGAAGCCTACTACCATACACTACAATTAAATATGATATCACAATAAACTGTATAATTACATGTCTTCCCGTCATGTCACTTGATATTGTCTATACAATGCCGCCGTCTCATTCAAAACACATCTGAGGCAGTACATTATTTTTAAGCAAGAACACTTTTCTAACTGACCACGTGGTCAAACATTTCTAAATTGCATTCTGTATTGTGTTGAAAAATATAACGATGCTTTTATCGGGGAACGTATCTAAAGTTTTATGGGGAATACTTCTAACTTGAAACTTACGATACATTCCGCGCGAGGTGCAGCCATCAATCCAAGCCACATGTCAGAATTTTCCTTTTGCTCATGATTGTACACTAATTGCAAACGAACTGTTTGACGTAGATTATCCAGCCAGTGCGTTGACATCTGCTTGTTGCGTTCCGAATCATTTTCATGCAATTTATCACAATTCCGTTCTACCCTTTAACAATAACCTTTAATTTATATACTGACCCGACCAGAATTCTGCATAAATTACGTCGGCACATGTGCAGCGACATCATCGTCTACAATTAATCATGTCCGGAACAGATGAGACATGCTGTTTCTAGAAATCCTACCGCTAGCTCCATCCTACTCCCATCACTGACTCCTTACCCAAACTATCCTTCACATTATGACAGTAAGACCATCGCTCTGGATGGTTTTCAGTATGAATAATATTGTTTCTTTTTGTTCAGTTACCCAACGGAGGATAGACAACAAGGGCCAAAAGGTAAAAATTAATATATAGAACAATGCCATCCGATATAGGTAATTAGTTTTTTTATTCTAAGAAAAGAAATGATATGTTTAATTAATAGAATAATGATATTAAAGTGGCATCTATTAATACGATGTTTAAGAACGTTTAAAATGATGCCATTTTAAAGCCGCTCTTGGCGATAGCCGAGCGGCTTATTGATTCTGTCCAGAGAACAAAATGACGGACCCACTTCCGTTCGGGGTGCGTGCGCATAATTCAGTCTTGCATGCTTCCGCTATATAGTTTCGTTATCGTAAATATAAAGTATGGAATGAAGTGTAAGAGGGGCGATAACTCTGTTATCGTTCCTCTGAACGAAATGTTAACACGGCTAAATGTAGCTAATTTGCCGCATATAACAGCGATTTGAGTTCGAAAAAAACGGCTCCATAACTTTTGCTGAAACTTTCCAAGTTTGTAGAACTCAGCGCGATCTACCTCCTTGTGTATCTGTTATATCTGGGAAAAATCTAGTTATTGAGATATTTGGTGTAAAACACGCCAAAACTGGCATTTTGACCATTAGTAACTGTATAATTCACCCTGGAGAATTAACACTTAAAGCTGACGAACTGAAACTCCAAACAAAAGTAGTCCAAGTTATTCTGAAGAAAACGATATATTTAGTTTTTCGATATCTTTCAAAAAACGGCCCTGAGAGGGTTTTGAAAATGGGGTGTATTTCTGGGGTTTCGTGGAATTTTTTCAGAAGATCCGATTTCCCCGTAGTCCAGCGCCAATTTGGGTACCCCTCTAGGCTAGAATTGAGATAAAAGCTTGTTGCGCATGCGTTA